GTGCCAGCCAGAGCCTTCCCCAAGGGATCTTCATAAGCCAGAAAAGTCACAGCTTTTTCCAGGCAGTGGTTTCTCTGAGTGTTGGCATATTGGTGATCTGGACACTTCACACACTGCTCCATATCTAAAAAATTAAAATTGTCACTTGCCAGCTTTATTATTTTTTCACAGACCCATCCCCTGAAACTCATTGGAGTTGTTTGAACTAAATTGTCACTTCTAATTTTTTCTTGTTTTTTCTTTATCTTTATTTTCCTTTATGTGGAATTGAACTCAGAAACTTTGCACTGAGATATATTTCCAGCCCTTTTAAACTTTATTATTTTGAGAAAGGCTCTCCTTAAGTCAGTACGTTGTGTTCTGACTTAAAATCCTCCTGCATCAGCCTCCCAGAGCCTGGATTCCAGGCATGCATCATCACACCTCAATTTTCCATTTCTTTCTAGACACAGAATAAAAGAGCAGTATATAGAGAATAACTTCTGAATAATACTGTTTGCTATTTATTGTCCTTTTACATCTTTACATTATTAAACCTTTCTTATTTGCTTCACTTATGTGATCTAAATCAAATCTTTATGAATGATTCCCTAAATAGTCAGTGAACAACTTCATATGAGGAATTCAACATAACTTACTAAGCCCCTGGGAAATGCATGTGAAGAAACATATTGTATGTTAAGTAGTTCCATTAGAGGGCCTCTCCATCTATGAATGTGCTTTATAAAAGCATTCATTTAATTTTTATTGTCAAAGGGGTATTTCAATAGTTTAATTCTGGTAATTTGCAAAACCATTACAGGATATATCACTACATATTTAATGATTGTAAATGTTGCAAAATTTAATTTTCAAAATTTTATCTATGTGTGGCTTATGACTGAAATGTGGAAACAGGTTTCTTTTGCAATAGTGTTGTATTCCATTTATATGCATTTTACACTTAAAAAATTAATATTACTGGAAAATCCTATCATTTCTGTTTCCTTTTTTCTAACATATTTTTGTTTTTCTGTGTTTCCTTCATTGCTCTGACCGTGATGTAGAGTGTAATGTCTGGCAGAAGTATGATGCAGAAAATCCTTATCTCAGTCCTGCTTTCTACAATGGATCACAAATTGTAAGGTGTGCTATAGGATACCACAAATAACATTTCTGGGGGGCAGTTACAGACTTCTCTCCTACTCATTTGGTAAGAAACACTCTTGAGGTTTCATTGTAAGTTGTATAGTGATGTAGAGTTTTATTATATTGCCTCCACTTATCAGCAGTTTTTCTTTCTTCAGGTACTAGTCCATTACATCATATTTTATAACCTGAGTTTTCTCATAGTGTACTGCCCCTGAAGCACATACCTCAATTTGAAATAAAAAATGTGAATTTAGTTTGAAAAGGAAAGTGGCCTGTGAACTTTGTTTCTTCTAAGTGCATTTTCAGCTATGAGTAATATGATTTAGTTCCTGAGTTAAAAGAATTGATTTTCCTCTTTCCCTTTTCTCTGAAAGAATGAGGTCGGTATTAATATGTCGTTGAATGCTCATAAATTTCACTGCTAACATTATTAATCAACAAAAATTTGGAGTGAAATATTACACCCTGAGCACCCATCTGCTAATAGATCTGGTACTGTAGAGATATTAGTACAACGGAGACTTTTTGGTTTTTCTTAGGACTGATTTGCTAAATTTTCCGTTGATTTTATAGATTTTAAGGCACAGACTGATGTGAACTTCCTTATATTTTCCTATGGAAGGATTTCTATGTAACTACACTAATGGCCAAATTTGTCTAGATAAAAGCCTTTCAATTTTTCACTTTCTTCTTGATCAACTGTACTAAGATTTCTCACTTAAAAAACTGACAAAACAACAATGAAGACAAAATCAAAACAACACAAAAACAACAAAACTGAAACATGACCTCCCCACAACATGAGAGATATTCACAATGGTTGCTAAATTGCATATTGTTATCCTCAACAAAGTTGATCTCAGGGATAGAGTTGTCACTTTTTGTTACCAGAATCATATTTAATACTGTTAATTTTTTGTCTGTCTTAATTTTCTAATTCTTTCAGACTATGTGCCATGTTTCATTTCCTTGTGTTCAACTTGCTGTACTTTTTTGTAGTGTGGGATGAATATTTCAAGTGCAGAACTTCAGCTCTTTTGTTTAAATACAGAACAGCACTGAAGTATATGTGATATAGAATTGATATTTGTCTCTGTAGTTTTAGCTTTAACTCACAGGATTTTCATTTGTACATGATTTTTAAGCTGTGCTTTGAGCTATTCTATACACTATACGTGCTTGAGAATGATACATACTGGAAGCATTTATTGACTGATATTATTGGGTGCATTATTCTCTATATGTGCAAACACTACATTTTTAAAAAGGTACCACATTCTCATCCATTTTGGAGAATATATATTCAAAATAACTACTTGGTACAGTACATAATTAGTCTTGATGTATTTCAGAGAGCATTTGAAGATATACTAAATATGTTTTCAAATCAAAATTTATATCAACCTCAAAACCAAACTACAAGATGTTCAATAGAAAAATGATTCCACCAGGTCATGATGTATGAGAAAGTTAAATATTTCCAAAGTGATAGTTATGGTATGCAACATTGTTCAATATTATATTTCTGTAAATTGTATAGAATATGTCTCAATCTTCATCCTCATTTTATCTGTGTTTTAATAACATAATATTTTCCTTCAGAATACTTTAGTATTGCATGAATGGTGAATATGCCATTTGGGCCATTTATAGTAATCCTAAAAGGATTTATGCCACCTCTTTTAGTGTGATATAATACTAATGTTATCACCTCTGTAAAAATGCCTACGACACCCTCTTGAAATGTAGATATTATCACTTGTTAAATCCCTTAATCTGTGTGCATATCATCCTTGCAGTTCTGTAGTACAGACTTAAATTATGGCACACTGTGTCTCTACCCCCATCTCTGCATTTGAGGAGAATGGATATTAAATCCTAGGAAATGAATTGTGCTGTGTTGTAAGCATGTTGTGTATCAAGGACATCTCTCCAAAGGTTGTGAGGAGTTGGCTTTAATCTTTCTCCATGTTAAATTTCACGATGGAGATGGAACTTAGAAGCTGTAGCGTAGGGGAAAGGGCTTTTCTTGAGAAAATAATACTTTCAATGGGGATAGAAAAATAAATGAATGTAGTCAGGTGTGGTGGTGCCTCTGTGTTATTCCAGATAATTAGTGGGCAGAGATAGGTCTATTAAATTTTTGAGGCACTCTGAGGCAAATTGGTGATATTCTGTCCCATAATAACAGATAAGACTATCTGGGGACATACAACATTGGTAGAGCACATCTTGGTTTAATTCCTAGCAATGCAAAAAAAACAAAGCAAGCAAAACCAAAGATAATGAATAAGAATGAAATAGAAGGAAAATGAATTAGACTGCATTTCAAAGGGGAAAATGTGCTTCTCAACCAGGCAGTAGACAACAGTATAACAAATTATTTGATAAGTGAAGGAAGATTTTTATC